CCCCCTCCCTGCCTTCCCCCTTCGCTGTCGCGGGTTCGCTCGTTCGCTCTCCTTCCCCCTACCAAGTGGGCGCACAACTTTTCGCTTCTCGCTCCCGAGCACGCCCCGCGCGCCTCCGCTGCCAGAGCCACGGGGTGAAGATGCGCCCTTCCATGCTGTGCGCGCAGCCGGCGGAGGGCCAAGCGCCGGGCTAGGAGGGCTGCCGGCTGATAAAAGGACGCAGAGGAGGTACCCGCGAGCTTTCTCTCTCTTTAGGTCTCACCTGAGCTCTGGAGCTGGCGTTGCCTTGAAAAGCGTCTCCGTGACCCACAGCTCTTTTGGGTGGAAGGAAGAGGACGCGACAGGGCAAAGGGGGTGCGCGTAGACAGTTTACCTCCTCTTGGTTCTAAGAGCCTCTTGCGTGCAGAATAGGGGGTTTGTGAAACCACTGCCTACTACTCAGACCCTACGGTTTAGAGGCTGTGTGCGTCACAGTCCTGTGAGGAACGCAGAACTGGCTTGGGAAATAAGGGAAAGGTTGCTAGGTCTCAATGTGCCCTGCCGTCCTGACCTCCTCACTTCCCTTCCCTGAACAAGAGATGACCTGTCTGGTCCCCTTCGAGTCCTTTTGATAGATTCACTGAAGCTAACACACAAAAATACTCAGTCCTTGTAATCAGCTTGTAATCAAACTAGTAAAGTAATAATAATAAAAAATACTAATCCTGACCCTTTCATTTTTTGTGAACTCCCTTCCACAGGAGACCCTGATTCAGTTCATTCCCTGGCATTAGATGTGAGTTCCAAGGGTGGATTTTGCCATCTGGGGACAGATCCCAAGCAGAAGGGGAAGAGTATAAGGACCAGATACACGGTCTGTAGAGCTTGTACTGTCTGACTCAGTGAGACAGAGTGAACAGAATGAGAACATAGGCACAATATGCTTATAATATTTATGCAAATTTGACATTTTTTGTGCTGTTTCTAACATCTCATTGTGAAATGTTGAAAAGAATATTGACTACAGGTCTAATATCTGTTTCACATTCTAGCTATGATGAGTAAAAAAACTTAGTGAATTAGATCACAGAAGGACCGGTGAAAAGAAGCAGAGAGATTTTTTTTTCTTTCTTTTTTTCACCCTAGACAGTCTCTAAGTAACTGTTTGTTCTCTTCTCAGACTGTGTCTGCTTACAGGGTATTCTAGAATTGGCTAATTCTGTCTCGGAAAAAAAAGAACAGCAGTCAAGCCCCAATCAAATTATAACTGCTGCTAGACCAGACAGTCCCAAGTGGACAAAGAAATAGATCACATCTTGGGTTGTGCTTAATTTCAGATATTCATTTTCACTTTGAACAAACGATCTGAACCTTTCCTTGGGGTACCTTCTTGCATCTATGAAAACTAAAGAAAAGGTCATCTGTTTCTGAAGGCTGGGGATTGTCACAAGTAACCAGCTCCTCTCAAAAGAAAGCCAAATTGTTAGAGAGATAATATTCTCAAATCTCATTTTCTTAAAAGGAGACAAAATAAAAACACTATACTGACAAAGTGAAAAGAGTTAGAATCTAATGACCTGGAGTACCTTGGATTAGAATGAGTTTAACTTGAGTTACCTTATCCACATTACTCTTAGAGGGTTATATACATTGTCTTCATTGAATTTTGGCCCTCTAGAATTCAAGGTAACCCTATGTACACCTGCTAATCTCTGCTGAAAGCATTGCAGTGGGAATTTCCTGACTAGTTCTTAAGAGAGGTCTGGATGATTAAGCAGTGTGAAAGAGGATTAGGATAATGTTAAAAAGCCCTATAAGGATATTTTTAAAATAATCACGGAGGGAGGCTGAAAGACAAGGCATTTGTCTCTTTAACAATTCCACCCACTCTTAATGGGATGCAGTGTAATGTCACAATGGTGAGAGCCTACCTACCCCCTTAAGAAAGTGTTTTCTTTGCATCATCCTCTTCAGAGTCACAGCCTTCCAGCAGAAAGATGGCTGTGCTACATAGGCTTTTTAGAATGGCGACTAAAATTGCATGTGTTGCGAAGCATTGCAGGGGAGGAAGAGTTAGGAATTATCTGATAGGACAGAAGTACAATCTAAGAAGGAGTAGGATGGGGGCAGGGAGGCTTGCATTCAGAATAACCTTGGCTGACTGATGCAAAAAGTGGAATGAGGCAGGATGTCTCCAGCCTGGGTCTCCATGACAGGCAAATTTTGCAGAAGAGTTTACTGTGTTTGAGTGTGAACGAGGTGGAGAGCGAGTCCATGTAGTAAAAGATACTTTTCTTTCTTACTATAGTTGGAACCTTTGTCATAATTTTGACTGAAAGAGACCATAAACTATGTGTCTGTTGACTGAAGAATGAGGAATCAGTTATCTTGTTGTAAACTGAGACTTGGAAGGGGATGGGAGAGTTAGGAAGAACAACTTCATTTGGGATGGGGAAGTGGCAGAACGGAATATACTTGTTATTTGCTGTATTAAAATGCATTTTCTTCTACTTTTTATTTTTGGTAAACAATTAAAAACTTAAAAACAAAATAAGAAAAACTTTACCTTGTTATGATTACTGATAACTTTTAGGTTTATTGGATTGCTTTTCAATTTAAATGAATCTATGAATTTATGGAGTATCTCCTTAAGGTGGGGTTGAGGCATGTGGATTCCATGAATGAACATACTGTAGCATGTTACCTCTCCAGTGTGTTATCATTTAAAATGAAAACCTCAAGAAATCTGAAATATGAAGAAAGCCAAAACATAAATGCCACACCAATGAATGTATTTTTCATGGTTTCAGAGTTCTTTACCCATGTTTTATTAGAATGAAGAAATCTGAAACTATGTCTTTATTTGATCAGAAAAGCTAAGTATAACAACTGCGGTATTTGACATAAGAAACTTAAATTTTTTGAAGTCTAATATTGGCTATGAAATAAAGCAATTTTGAGAAATTTGTAAATATTTAAATGAATTTAGGATAATTTTTTGAAGTTCTGGTATTTGTTCTAAACCAGTCTCTTACTAAAGTCATGGAAAAATATGCTGATACTCAAGTGAATGACAACTCCAGGAATTCCTTTAGGCCAGTGGTTCTCAACCTAGATCCCTGAATGAGTTTGTGCCTCAGCATTCCAGGAAGACATTTTAAAAATGCTAATTCTTGCCCCTGAATCTTAGTGATGCTAAGAAATCTGGGGTTTGAGGACTGGGCAGGTGGAATGGTGCTGGACTCTCACATGGCTGACAGTGGTTCGAGTCCTGGGCCTGGCAGCTTCTCTTCTCATTTTCTCTCTCTCTTTCACTCTGTCCCTCTCCAGTTAAAGTTTAAAATAAATAAATCAAGTTAAATAAAATAATTCATTTTTAAAAGAAATCTGGATTTTAACAAATGCTCTAGGGAATTCTGTTGCCTACTAAAGTTTGAGAATCACTACCTTAGGTAGAGATATATTTATGAGGAGAAGGGAAAAAAAAAACATAAAGAAATATTTTGTCTTAGTATTGTTTTTATCTTGGAATATTCTGTTTTATAGTCAAAATAGTGTCTTAAAAATAAAGAAAAGAGAAAATTTAGCACACTAAATTTGTCATGTGATTACTTCACCAGTGTTTATTATGGGATTTGAAAACCTAAACTGATTTCTTTACAAGTGGCTATGAATTCTTGGGTAAAATCATCATTGAGGTTGCTATTCACAGTAGTGATGCTCTGCATTTCATGGCTGCTGGTTTTAGCTGTCCCTGAAATTAGGCCTGTATCTCTGAACACTGACTGTAATTACTAATCGTGAGCTTGTCATTATATTTTCAGTAAATGGAGGTGTAAACACTTTCTGAAACTCACATCTGCGCTGAGAGTGTTTTGGAGAAGGTTTTCAAAATGGCATTATCTCCCATCTTTCCAGGTGCTAGAAAAGAGATAAGCTCCAATTCAGCTTCTAAACAGAAACTGAAAAGGTGGGGGGTAAATAGACGTAAGAAGACTGGTACAAAGCTATCAAATAAGCCAGCCTAGGTTTTGTGGACTATACACTTAGCATTCAAGTTTGTTTTTTTTTTAACTTTCTTTCTTCTTTCCCTGAAAGAGAACAGCAGCTAGATTAAGATTATAAGTCTCTTTTGTTTAACTTGAGATAAAGAGGAAAAAATCAGAGGTAGTTCATGTTGTGTTCTAAAGATAAGAAGAAAGAAAGAAAGAAAAAGGAGAAAAATGAAGAAAAAGAAAAAAGGATAGAAAATGAGGGACACTCCCTCCCCCCTAAAACACTACTAGTTTGATATAAAAGATTGTATTGAACATTAAAACATAATTAAATTTAATTCATTTTAACTTTGGTTTAGAAGGTTCACGTAGTTTAAGATGTGCACACATGTATCATTACACATAGATGACAAGGCGTCTTCAAAAGTTCATAGAAAATGTGCATTAAAAAAAACTGAGTGCATGGATTAAAAATTGTTTTTTCACCAAAATAAACTCATACTTAAATTCTATCTTTCAATGAACTTTTTGAAATCCCCTTATATAGGCAATACAGATGTATGGGGGGAAGCATTTTTCGTTTCTTATGTATAAAATAGAATTTAGTGTTCTAACTAGCTGTTATCAAGTTGGTTATGAAGAGATGATTATCAGATATGTACATTCAACAAATGCTCTGAGAAGTTTCAAATTACATTGCTGAGAATTTGATCAGGATTCTTTTTTCTAGTAAAGCCGCATTATGCTGTCGAAGGAATTTCTGCTAGCTTACCAGAGATGCTGCCACTCAGGAAACGAAGTACTGTTTCTGGTCCTGTCCTCTGCCTGCAGGAGCACCTTGTCCTGTTAGAGTGGAAATCGAGGCTTTTTTTCTTCTACCTCAAGTGCCCTCTAGCGTGCAATATCTATGCAGGTTGCTATGTAGAAGAAGGTAGAAAGAAGAAAGAAAGAGAAATAGTTTACCGATTGCTATCCTAATTACTAAATTGCTCTGGTCTTCTTTTCTCCTTCCTCAAAGGGGTCGTTACCACAGAAGTGTTTGGCAAAACAGAAAAGGTGCTGTTGCTTTTGTAAGAAAAACAAATCGCTCATTTACTAAACTGGGAAACAAATGCTAATCCTTTCTCAGGGGTTTCTTTTGAACATTCATCATAATTTTCCAGAAGTTTCATACACTCTGGTAATCGGCAAATAAAAGAAGGTAAGTTGCTCCCTAGGAAGAAATTTCATTCTGTTCCTAACTCCACTGCAGACCAGCTATAAGGCTTTTGATGCAAATTGATTAACCTCTCCCTGGGTTTTAAGTTCCTGTCTCCATAAAAGTGCATAGTACTTCTTTCTTGCCTCAGGGGGGTGGTATGAGGCCTAATTGAGGTTTATAGAACAATTTCAGCTCCTTAGATACAGTTTGATATACAGTTGAACCTGCCTTTCATCTTGCATCTACTAACAGGGTTTCAAATTCTCTTTGGTAGTCCATAGGGAAACTGTGATCAGGATCTGCATTTTCATAAACATGTCATTAAAACAGCTCCATTGTAAATAGTAGATTTACTTAAGAGACTTTGAATGGTAGGAAATGAGAAAGAATATTTGGAGAAGAAAAATGTACTTGTTTTCTTCACAAATATGTCTGTGTATATATAAATATAACTCAATAGTAAAGCAGAATTCCTGCAAGACGTGCATTTGGGCATATCTCCCTAAATTTCAGAACAAATTAGTAATAACAGAAGGTGATTTTACTCACCCAAATGCCACCCACTAGGTGTCTTTGAGAGAGGAAGGGATATTTGTAAATAACCATGCATAGGAATCCATTCAGACAGTAAGATATCTAAACACCTGTTACACACCTTGGAGATTTCTTTACTAATATGATTATTATGCAGCATTGTGTTTTATTGATATCCTCACAGCTACAGTACTTCAAAAGGCAAGTAAAGAGGGTAGGAAGCTACATATTATAATGTGCTCCGTTAATATATTTAAATGCAATATCTCTTTAATTATTAAAGTACTATGGATGGTAGCTTTGGTCGATGTCATTTAAAGTATGAAAAAACTTGAGGCTCAGAGAAGTTAAGTGAGTTGCTCAAGGTTACACAGTGAATAGGTTAAAGAGGAGAAATTAAACCCAAGTTTCCCAACATCAAATATCATCTATTATTACCTTTAATAGTAAAATACTAAATGACTGTTATAACCTTCTTTCAACCAGTGTATTGCCTCACTTTACGAAGGAATTCATAGATTGCAATGAAAGATAAACTAAATATTATGTGTTCACCAAAAAAAATCAGAATCTTTAACTGTATGTGCTTTCTGTAAATATGGTTCCCAGATTCCACAGCTGACCAAGTAAAGCACCCTCCCAAAAGAATATGGATTTTGGGGGACCAGCAGATAGTATAATGGTTATGCCATTGGACGCCCACGTAGTTGACCACAGTTCCAGACCCAGACTCAGTGGCGTAAAACTCACACTGGCGTAAAACTCACAAGTGTGCCCAAAATCCTGAGAGGAGAGCAGAGAAGGGATTTCAGCATGGCCTCCCCCCGAGGGGGGGGGGCTGGTGATTTCTCGTTTTCTCTCTCTCTGTCTCTCTCTCTCTCTGTCTTCCTGGTGAACACACATGCCCTATAGCAAAAAATCTCTCTCTAAAAAAAAAAATGCTTTTTTTTTTACTTTTACATTATTTCATTACTATTATAAAGCTTGTTTTTCTCAAAAAATTAGGAATACACAAGAGCACAAAGAAAAAAGTCCCAACATGCCACTGCCCAAAGATAGTATTTTATTAACTTTTCTAAAACATTTTCTCCTGGCCTACTTCTTTTAAATATATATTCCCAAAGATATGTTCACACTCAATATAAAATTTTGTATCAGAGGATGTGTATTTTTAAAAACACAACTTAGGTGATGCTGATTCAGCATAACAAGCATCATTCTGGAAATCATTTGGGAATAGAGGAACCAAATGGTATCAGAAGTCTTGTTTAACAGCTCAGTCCTAGAGCCCAAGGTTAAGTCACACTTCTGTAAAACTATTTAGATAAGCATAGCACTTTCTACATTTCCAAGTCCAAAAGCGCTCTTATGAGAGCCTTATGAGGTGAGAAGAAGATTTATTATTATCTTGGTTGTATAGTTATAGGCTTTTCAAGACATAGACGTCATGTAGTTCAAACCCTTCATTTTGTACAAAAATAAATCAGGTAAAACTTTTGACTTCTGAGTCTAAGGTTTCAAAGTCACCTGTTTGAAAAAAAAAAAAAAAAAAAAAACAAGACCAGGTCCATGGTGGTCACTTGTCTTTGAAAGATGTCAGGATATTACATGTTCCTGCAAATGTGATTCAGGGAAAAAAAATCATTACATGAACAACCTAGATTGTCTTCCAGATATGAAGTCAGAGGACTGGGAAAAACAAAACAAAAAATGAAACATATTTCTGGTACTCTAATCCAAATTAAGGCCAGCTCAAAAAGGTCTACTTTTGTTTTCTGGCAAGATTACATTTACACCTTTCACCTAGTCCCTGTTCGATTTAATAATATGCCTTGTCTTGGCTGCATCGTTTCAGTGCCTGTGCGTCTGGCTCCCTAATTCAGCCCCAAAGGCTCCTTCAAAGCAGATCTTGTGTGCTGCAGATTTTTAGAGTGAGGATTATCAGCAGAAGACAAAAACGTAAGTAAAAAATAATTGTGTTCACATACATTCTGATGCACCCTGAAACTTCCTCTGGTAGCTTCTAGTAGGAATGCCAAGCAGAGATGATAAGTCATTTTGAATAGGTAGATATGTAAGGCTGACTTCTGTGTTCTCCAAAAGCAGAGAAAAACAAGCATACATGACTTGCAAATTCATAGACTGGTGAATTTCCCTTCATTTTTTTTTCCTTCTGCATAATTAGATACTGGCTTTCTTTCTTAAAATTATCTCATTGTGCCTGAGCAGGGAACACTTTATTTTTTACTAGGTTGTTTTCTCCTCCCAAATTACATAAAGCATATTATCACTTTTCTGGAATAAAAGGTGATAATAAGTGGCACTAGCAGGTGTAGTTGGTATGCTTAATAGAGAGTGTTTAATATCTTGTCATGCACTATGGGGATTAATTTACATATGTTCACTCGTTTATTCTCTACAAGAGCCCCCTAATTTTTCAAATGAAGAAACTGTGAAGGGAAATGTATTTTACTTCTTTAAATCCCAATTAGGTTTCCACTTATCTCTACAATATTACTTCATAACACAGTCTGTTTCTCCTGTTTGCACCAGTCAAACTGAGCTTTTCTCAGTACTTTGAAAACAGTAACTTCCAGGACCACAGATAGCACAATGGTTGCATTACTGGACTCTCACATAATCAACTAAGGTTCAAGTCCCAGGCCCAGCAGCTTAAAACTCACACTGGCTGTGTGTGTGTGTGTGCCCAAGATCCTGACAAAAGTAGGGAGGAGAAGGAATAGTGACACGCACACACACACACACACACACACACACCGGGGATGGGAACTTCTTGCTTTTTGTCTGTGTCTCTCTGTCTCTCCAGTGAGCACATATACCCTATCTCAAAAATCTCCCTAAAAACAAAAACAAAAAAGAAAAAGAAAAACAGTAACTTCCTTATCTGTGGATGGGAAACTGAAGCATTTAAGAAGGAGCAAGACATCTGGAACCATATAAATCTAGTTTAAAGTCTTGGCTGAACATGACTGGTTTTGTAAATTTGACAAGCTGATTACCCTGTTTGATAACCTCTCTGAATCTCATTTGCCTTTGTGTATAAGAATAACCCATATGGTTGTTGCATTAAATCATGCAATGAACGGGACCAGTAGTTAGCATAATGGCTATGTCGCTGGACTCCCACGTAGTCGACCGTGGCTCACGTCCTGGACCTGGTGGCTTAAAACTCACGCCGGGCGCGTGTGCGTGCATGCCCAAGATCCTGAGAGAATGGAGGAGAAGGTATTGCGGCGTAGCCATCCCCCCTGGGGAGTGATTTCTCGCTTTCTATCTCTCTGTCTCTCTGTCTGTCTGGTGAGCGCACACACTCTATAGTAAAAACCTCTCAAAAAAAACCAAAACCAAAACAAAACAAAACAAAAAACAACCATGCAATGAAAGAAAACTGTCTAGTTTTTAATATATAGTTTCCTCTCAACTGGGCCCATTGATGTCTACCTAACAAAAGACGGTCAGAAGGTATATCCTCCCAGGATTCCTTCAGCTAAGTTACTCCTCTTTTTTTTTTTTAATAATTATTTTTTAATGTATTTTATTTATTATTATTATTTTAATTTGCTATAGGGCACATGTGCTCACCAGAGAGAGCCAAGCCACCAAATCTGGGACTCGAACTATGGTTAGTCATGTGGGAGTCCAGCACATTAACCACCAAACACCTGCTGGCCTCAAGGCTACTCCTCTTAATTGTGTAATTCTGTCTCATGGCTATGTAGAGCACTAAGATCTCAAACAATACTTTAACAGGTATCATTCACTGCTTTCCAATGTGTTCTGAGCCTCAGACAAACAAACCTTCCTTCTATCTTTCTCCAGATCGTCATGCTGTAATCAGCTGATGCCTTGCTCACTCTATAGCATTTCTTCCTGGAGATCAAAAAATTCTCTGTTTTCTTATTTTGCTTGCCCCCTCTTGCTGGCCTTCAATAACACAAGACTGAAGGCACCTAATGTTAGGAAGAGGGTGGCTTCAGTCTCTTAATCTGGTAAAGAATATAGATTACTAGTTTATATTTAATGACCCAAAGGAGAAATAATGGGATCTGAGATATAAATGAGAGAAAGGAAAAGACTAGACCCAAGCTCCTAGGGAAAG